TCGCGCGACAGTAACGCGGAGGACGAGAATGAAATATACACCTGTCCGCGATTATTTTCATTCCTGGAAGGTCAGCGATTCCGTGCACGCGATTATGCAAGTTGATGCACTCGATATCGGAGCTCCATTCCTAGCGAGCATCTTTGGAAACCGCCCTTATTATGCCGGAGATATTTTTACCGGTGACTCGTTTAACGCGCGTCGTTAAAGACACCGAACGCCGGACCAACGCAAAGGGAACGCGAGGAATCGACATCGTAACATTTTTGGCTCGTAGTTTGTTTGTTTAGTCTGTGAAAGAAATTTACAGCATCCTATACTCGATGCAGTTTCCATTCCCATCGCGGTCTAATAGATATCCGCTGACGAGTTCCGGTAGCATAATAGTCGTTCGCGAGTTTCCGTGTTTGTTGGTTCGCGCGAGTTTAGGCTTGTAACCGGAGAATTTCGACGAAGACGTATTTAAGCTCGCGACAGCAACAGCGTGCAACTGCCACTCAACGATCTTAGGATAATTGCTAAGTTAAAACTGTCTCTTTTAATTTATCGTTGCGTAACGCAATTGTTAACGCGCTTCGGAGCAAATTATTCTGTGATTTTCCAACGCCAGCGATTCTATGTTTCGTGAGAACGACCGAACTTTGCAGGGGATTCTATTAGCGGAGTAACAGACCGCTGGAACGATTTTCGTGGACGAAAAGAAATTTAACTTCTTTCATCTGGACGAAATAAACGAAATACAGAGCTCGACGTAAGAAACTCACGACTGATGGTTAGATACGCTGAAGAAATTGCTCGATAAAAGTTGAATAAAATTTTTAGTTATTTGGTGGTCAGGTATCGTAACTTCCAACTGAAATTTTTGAAAAACTAACTGGATATTTGGGGAAGTTTTCTTGTTAGTGTTTCGTCGAGAGGAGCGTCTCGAGAGCTTCAGTTTCCCATTTTCGCAGCCAAAATCGTTTCCAGTTCTATTCCTAGTTCGAACAGAGAATTAAATCGTGCAATCGATGAAAAGGAGACGATCGCAGGAAACGTCGCGCAGAAGGAGAAGCAGCTCGGAGAGGAACGGGCTACGTCGGCCTCCGCGGATCGTTTCTGTTTGGTTTCCCGTTGCTCGTTTTATTCTTTCCTCTGCTTCTTCATCTTCTCGTAGTCCGGCACGGCTCTTTCTTCCTTTCAAAAAGAAACTTGCTGAGCCGGCGTCTCGTTCACAACTCGTCCGCGAGCCGTATATGCGCTACGGCTCGCGTGAAATGGAATGTCAAGAAAGAAAACGCGTGTGCTGTGAAAAAAACGGCCGCGGGATCGACCGTGGTGGCTCGTATCGGTTACCGATGCGCCCCGGATGATCGCTGCGAGTGCATACCTTTATGGAAAACGTATGGAAAAGTGGAACTTGGCGGAGGATTTTTTTTTCTAACGAGATTGACCCTAAAATGTAGAGCAAGATGAATTGAAACGGATCACGGTCGGCCATTTTAGCGTTAAATTGTAGATCTTTATATATCTTTGGCCTAGATATAGATGCTTCTTCAATTATGTTAGAATCGAAGTAACTTATTGATCTCCAAGTTAAATTCCGAAGATGAGAGAATGCCATTTCTGTTCTGTTCGTGGCAATGCACTTATTTTCCTAGTTTAGGAGATATTTTACTATCGAGTGGATTGCATGAGCGCTCCGACACGCTCCATGAAAACCGTTATGTCTTGACTAGTATTTTAAATTTCACTTTAATATTCCTAGAAAGTATTTTTAGAACGAACTTGGGAATAATGTTAAAGAATTTCTGCATTCGATCATCGATGAGAAGCTTGATCAAGTGTACAAAATAATATGAAAAAATAAGATTCTTAAGGATTGGGGAAAGCAAACGATTAGAATAGGTAATCGAAGGGACAGTGAAGAGAAATTGACGTTTTCGACGAGAAAAGGTTAATCACTCATGGATGATGTCTCGAAGGTTGGCACAAAAGTTGGACAGACAGCACGTCGGAGATTAAAAGCGTCTCACCGAAAAACCATTGTTAGCAAAGTCGGTTCCGGCACAGCTTATTATCGGCCTCTGCTTTTTATCTCCGTTTTCTGCAACGATAGAAACGGCAGCTCCGCAGGCCTGTATCATAAACGCGATTCACCGTTTTAGATCCCACAAAATTGCGTCGCGCTGATACGATCTCCGTGGCTGGGAAAGATTGATGCTACCCCATCGACTTCGCCGGCAAAATTTCGCGGTCTACTAGCTTCCTTATTGAACCCAGAAATTACGACCTAATGACTGACGTATTGTTGATCAAATAACCGATAAACAGATATCGATATCTCGATGAAACAATTATTTTTTCAACGTCTTCTTGCTCCAGCCTTCTTACTCTCTTTCAGTCTGCTTGATCTGAAATTATTCCTATCGATTTCAGGGTTCAAAAATAAGTCATCCTGAAGAATGAAAAATTTCTTCTGTACTTTGTGGTACATATTGACTTCCGTTTCCAGAAAAGCTATAACTAGAGTCATATTTTCTTCTTAACAGTTCTATTGTTCTGCAATCATATAATGTTTGGAATTTTGAAATTACTCGGAAAAGATTTCAGTATTTACATCAGAGTCGAAGATAACGAAAAAACGAGGTCCAGAAGAAGCTTAAACTCGTTTTGCGATTCGATCGATCATTATTTCCGACCCGCGGAGCTTCCTTTTTGCGCCCTTCGATGGAAATGGAATATCTCTAATTGTGGAAAGAATTGTTGGCTCTCCTAAAATAATATCCTGGTAATGTCAAGTACAGATATACTCAAGGTAATCGCAATCATACAATCGATTCTACGAAAATAGCGACTGCTTGAATGATTTAGGAATAACAATAATTCTTAAAGGTTTTAATAGATTTTCCTAGACCGCGTATTTAAATTTACATCAAATTGCTGTATTGGATTCTACTAATATTAATATCTATCCTACTATTTCAGAAAAAAAAAACTGAACAATTTCTTGTATATTTAACTTATAATAATATAAATCACACTCTCAGGTTTTGTTTTGCTTCTTCAAAGAACAACTTATTATGTCTCACAAGATAGTTACTTTGCCCCTTAATTTTTGTCCACGAAGATATAAAACACGTACGAATTGCTATTCGAATGCACATTGAATTAAGGGGGGAGTCTCATGTGAATGATAGAAAATTGAACCATTTTTCTTAATTCTTTTTAAGGAAATGATACATCTGACGTTATGATTCATTTTTGCAATTTACTTAGCTATCCTTTGGGAATACAAGATAATTTTTTTATTAATTTTTATTAACTTTTAATCTTGTTATCACGTCCGCAGTAAACACGTGTTTAAACACTGGCGTAGGTGATTGCAGCTCTCAAGGTTGACCAAATCAAAAAAATTATGTTGCAAATTGACAAAATGGTGAAAGCTTGAAGTAAAAATTGCAAAATTTCGTCGTCTCTTTTGCAACTTTTTAATAAAAAATATATGATAAACTCATTATAACAATTTGATTTTGGTATAGTTTTTGAGATTTTATCTACGCCATTTAAGAAAGTAAAACGCATTTAAAGTCTGCAAGATCATACTCATCGATCTCAGTTCCATATAGAATTCCTTTCAGAAAAAATTTCTACTTTTAATAACAGCAGATGTCTCTTGACCCTAGCGTGAACCTTTCGAAACGGTCTCTCAAAATTTAACAGTACATTCTTAAATATACTTTCAAAAAATGAAGCAAAAAATTGATATTTTTGAGGTCTCACATGAGACTCCCCCCTTTAAGAAAGAGGCTGTTTAAAAATTCTAGAAAAATCGGTAACTCCTTTATGGAAGATTCGAGCGTGTCCATCGTTCATCTCGTTCGCCCAGCCCATTGTTTGGCAATTGATAAACGTCGGGGATCGTTGTATCGTGGGTGTCGAATCGCGATATCCACGGATTCGTCTCGTTCCCGTTGGATGAAACGCCTCTGGTCCGTTTCATGGTTGGTCGATCGGGTGGCAAGGAGCACCGGTACGACCTCGACTCGCTCCTTCCAAGGTAGTTAGGTATGTGGCTCGCGTGACGTTACATATCCAAGGTCGGAGAATGAACCAAGAAATCGGACGGCTCCTTCCTCCGGAACATTTGTTTTCATCTCGTTTCGAGCGGCGCCTCCTGTTCCCGATTTAAGCTGCCCGGCTACGTGATCGGATCGCGAAAGGTCGACGAGCCTATTTCCAGTTCGCTCGCTATCATTTCCCCGCATCTATCCGCAGGTGCAGCACGCCTTAACGAGCGACTTCCGTCGCGCTTATAATTCATCCTGCGTGTTTCGCGATTCATTCATAATTCGTAACGGTACTTTTTCTTTACGTTGCCCCGGCACAACGATGCCTTGCGCAATCCCGGAGCATTCTGCTTCGGAGAAAGCCTCTCCCAATCCGGAGGATCGCTCGGGGTTCCAAGCTCGGTGAACTGCCTCGAAGGCAGGGTAAATCGTTGAATCGAAAATTGGAAACAGCGGCAGACAACAAATTTTCAATCTAGAACGTTGGTCTTCGTTTAATTGAATCGAATTGTTGTTTGGTTTATCTTTGATGCAATGCAACGGGTTGCAGCGTACGAACAAGCGTCTCGGTTGCTTGGAACTTTGGGATCGCGTTACTCTACGGCTCCAACCGCTAATAAATGTTTCAGATGATTTTGGCATACTGCTAGAATTTAATCCTCTTAGATTAATTTATGTGTAGTACAAAGTTTGCTTGTGCATATTCCGCGCGAACGTGAGTTGGTTAAGTTAGCCACAAGAGGATTTGGTAAACTAAAGATAGATTTCGCGTCACCGCTTACTAGAGGAAGATAGTGCAACCAAATACTTCTGATCTTCGCGAGAGGGGAACGCGAGAAAACTGATATTTTAAGTAAACGTTTCGATCTTTGATATACAAGTGATTGAACAACACAAGGAGATGAATATAACGAATGATCGATTCTTAATATTTTTTCCTTCTTTCCACAGAGCCTGGCAGACGGCGAAGCGAAGAAAAGCGCATCGCCATGGAAATGGGGAAACGCATAATGCAGTTTCTGGCGAGGTGTCCTTTGCCAGTCCGCGCGTGAACGGGGATCGCGTTCTTCTCTGCCTTTCGTTGGATCCTCGATCGAAAGGAGACGAAAGGATCGTTTGGAATCGAAAATGAAACGTTCAGGGAATCCTGACGAGAATCCAGCGAGACGTTCGGCACTTTGAGTGGTCGGAAGGAATACGCACGGCCTTTAAGAAGGCCGGTTAATCGAAAGTCGCGACCATTTGGCGGAGATGTCCAGAAAGAAGTCCTTTATCGGGATACGGGACCACGCAGGAAAAAGGATCGCAGAGTAGTCCACAGGCAGGCTACTATGACTGACTATTTGGATCCGCATTTCGTCAGGGCTCTCTGCCGCGATCCAGAACGACGTACGCTTCAAGTGAGTGCAATTTCAAAACTCTTAAATGTATTATAAAATGAGATAATATTGCTCTATATCGTGAATGATATATATTTCAGTTTAATAAATCCGGGTTTCAATTTTAAATTAAATTCCTCCGCTTTATTAAATCGTTTTGTAAATTGTATTTATCTTGTAAATCATTAAATCGTTTTAAGCGGTATTTATATTACGTGTTTAATTGGTCGTATGTTAATTTCTTTTTGTTCTTGCGTGTATTCAAGATTTCTCAGATTTTATCGAGCAACGACAGGAAACAGTAACAGTTACTTATTGATTAGAACGTATAATGTTCGTTTTCGAATACTCTAAACAAAAGTAAAATTATGATTTACGTTGAATAGAAACACCTTGCTGATCGTTCAGAGTTTGAGAAAAAAGATTGTTTCCGCGTAATGAGACGCGGAAGATACCGTGGGTAATAAAATCTCGTGTTTACAATAATGGTCCGCGGTTACATCTTTATGTAAAACTTTCTAGCGTCTTTTCTTTATTTAATGTATTTCTATAAATATAATTTACGATGTTTCTTTCGTTCATAGTATTTGAAAATAGCTACTTACGTTTCGTTTAAAAACCTTCCACGTTGTTCGAGTTAGTTAATCTTATTTACCAGCCGTCCATCTTTATTTTCGAACGAAAGATAGGACAGCCGCATAAAGGCACGCGGTTATTAATGTTCGCGATCCTGCGACCAGGAATATTTCAGAATTACGTAGTTTCTTTGTTATTTCCATAATTCGCGATTTTAAACGAGATTCCGTACGCACGAAGGCGCATTCGTGACTGCGTTTACAGTGGTACGAAAGGTTAAAGGGCACCGTCAATATCCCCGAGCAGAGCTGCTTGAACTTTCGAAACGAATAATCCGCAGTTTCTTATCTCCGCATAATCATGTCAGATTCCTGCAAGCGACATCCAGGAATTTCTATCGGTAAGAGATCGTTGTTTCTTCCGCGGTTGTGTCGATCGCGAGATCCTCCGCGCGTTTTTAAACAGCAATTAGACGAGCGCTGGTTAAAAGGAACCAGAAACTTTCGGCGAAGTTAACGCGATAAGACGGACCTGACTTCGCCATGGCAATCGCGATCGAAGAAATCTTTTCCGAAAACAGTCCATCGAAAGTCGAACGCTTTCTCTTTAAATGTTAACAGGCTTTCGAGGTGGATCTAATAATCGAGTTTCAGTTCGTTGCAAACTTATTTTTGCCTTCCAAGCTTTAAGTTCTTCGGCTTGCTGCTTAACAAACGAACGACGGGAATTCGTTAATTTTATAACAGCGAACTTTAGGCGGAAGTTTCGCGACTATACAATATATTGAGTCGACAGATGCTGCGAGAACTTTCAACAATTTCCAACGCTCCGTTAAAATTAGGCCTTGGGACTTTTGGTTATTAAAATATTCAGCAAATATAATTTCAGTATTTTGTTGATTATTCCTATTTAAATTGATCTTTTTCGAATTTCATTGTTAAAAAGCAATTTGTTAATTTTTTCATGGGAGAAAGAATAGATCGAATCACGGAGTTTCTAATGCAGTGATATTTTAGTAATCCCAGCTCTAATTAAAACATTCGAGGGTCCTTTGCGTTCCTTGCTCGATGTGGTTATGGAAAAATAGTTTGCAAGTATTGGAAACGGATCGAGCAACTCCTAACGAAGGATAACGAGTTTTCGTCGATAAAAGATGCGCGTTAAACGGCGCGTTGATGTTCGACATTACACGGTAAAACAATTTCAACGTGCCCAGCGAGACGCGAATCTCGTTGTTTTGTTGTTTTAAAAATAGATGATCATTCTCCTGTATCGAGGGGCTCGTTTCACTTTTAACTGCCTTTGTCCTGCTTTGTTTCATCAGGACTCGTACTAACTACCAATCGTATGTTCCTAATTTGAACGTCGAACGGTTGATTGCGATCGGAAAAACTACCTTGCTTTGTTCTATCGCGATGTCCCTTTTTCCGCGGACCTGTCTGCCAACGCGATGGAACAATTCTCGCAATGAAATGTTCTGTCGCGGGTGCTGCAACAACGTGGAAAAAAAAAAAAATATTCCACGCGCAAACACGACCTGATATTCCCAGAGAAGTAATGCAATTCTGGAACAATAATTTCTCGGTACTTCTGCAAGGTTCGTGCATCATTATATAATTATTGAAATGCTGTTTGCGTGTTACTTTTAAAAAGAACGTGTTTCAAACGATCCACGTTACTAATATAAACATCAGAATATTTCATGAGTCTTCAAATATTTTTATCGAAGTAAATTGTATTCCATAGTGGTCATCTTCTTGTACGATTTATTCCAGTGTCCGAATTAATTTAACATTACGTTTTAGAAAATATTTGCCACGTACTAATGTAAATATCAAGCAATTTCACGAGTCTTCAAGTATTTTTATCGAAATAATTCTTCGTTATTTCCTGAATTTCGTGAATTAAATCAATCCAGTCAATATTCATTTCCCAATTACCTTTCCTTGCCTGTTATTTTTGACTCGTAAATAAATTGTAACGTCTGAAACGTTCTTTCGTCAGACGAAAAAAATTTTAATCGTGCGTGCTCGCAGCCTATTTGATTGGTTAAAAATAATTCTATTTAATTATTTGTGATCGAAATTGTTAATTTTCGTTTCGCTGCGCGACGAGGAGCGTGTTCGTCGTAATCGATAGGCCAATTAAGGTAGATCCCGAAGCTATAAATTTCCATGAAAAGCAGTCGCCATTCGAGATCGCGGTAGCTCGCGGAAAGTGGCGCGGTTGCGCTCTTTCATTCGTTATTTTCATACTAATTTGCAATTAGTCGAATCGCGGAGACGGATGCGGAGGCGCGCGTGCATCGACGCCCGAAACGCGTTTCTAAATGCGAGGCAGACATCGAAGTTCGGAGGAAAACGGTCGCAATTTCATTGCTTCGAAGTACAATGAAAGTCTCAGATATTGTACGAGAATATCGATCCCGCGGACCGTAGCCCGGTGGCAGTTTTAAACAAATAATGGCGTTTGTACCGACGTCCTCGATCGGCGAATATAATTGACAGGCTTTTTTTCTTTTTGTTCGATTCCTTTTCAATCGCGGGACGCCGGAACGAGCCGCTGAAAAGTCTTTGAAATTTCATTCAAGTGGAAGCGATCGACGCGAAAAATTCGCGCTTCTCGCGTCCCATCGGTGTTCCAATACATTTCGGTCTCGAAATCGACGAGCCTTTGTGCCTAATTTCTAATTCTTCGGAGTCTCATTTTACGGAGATCAGTTTTGTGATTTTTTTTTGTGGGCTATTAAAGAGCGATTAATTCCGTGTTTCGTAGATACATTTATTATATATTTAGCTATATTTACGAATTTTTGCAGCGCATAATATCTATTGATTACGCTGTTTTTGTTGATCATTAAATAACAGTTTTTACGAACGGCGCCCGACTGCGTATGTGATATCTTGCGAACAAGTTATCCGAAATGCAAAAACCAACAATATTCTTAATGTAGATGAGTGTGGTTATAGCATGAATTAGGATCTTTTCAAAAAAACAAAAAATGACAAAATGACAGCTATTTTACCAAAACATTCTGAATATTTTCATACATTCGGTGGCTGTTTTTTTAATAAAAGAGAAAGTATTGCATATATCGCAATTATCCTAGTTCATGCTATAGGGAGATCAGTTCTAAAGATACTGTGTAAATTTCATGTTGATATCTTGAATAGTTTTTTCGTTATCACAAACGCAGTGCCGAAAAATATAGTTTCGAGAAAAACAGCGCGCGGTACATTTCAGCAGGCTATAACTTCGTTAGTTTTTCAAATTTCAATTTAATATTTGGTTGATATATTTTCGAGACTATATACTAAAAGAAAACACAAAAAAAAAATTCGATTTTTTAAATCTCACAAGGTAGAAAGGCCCCTTGAGGAAGATTCAAATTTTGGGCGGCTTTGATATGATCAGATCTAGTTCTTCTTAATAGATATCGACAATTAGGTTTAACACTAGATTTACGGAAGCCGTCAATTTATTTAAAATTGCAGAACGCGTAAATATTATTTTTTAACAACTTCTGTTGAATTTGATTGATGCAATGGCATGAATACATATTCTAATTAAAAGAAAAATCGTATTGTAAGGTAATCGTCATGAAAGGTATCAATAAATATACGTGCGATCAATGCCCGTAAATCTAGTGTTAATTATCTATCATGTGTCGACACTGTAGAAATTATTATTTTGTTTGCAAATATATAAATAAAAATGTGAGTTTGATAGAAATGAATTTCTTAATTTCTGATTATACGCTGCATAATATTCAAGAGTAAATTGGACTCCGTAATGAATACCGTTCTGTATTTATATTTTAAATACAGCACAAAAGAATACAGCAGTGAATGCACTTTCTCATCTCATATATCCTGTGGTCGAGCAATCGATACCGAGAGGCTATCCAAACGAGGAGAAAAAACTGTAATAATTTACCCTCGAATATGCACAGTTTCGCGTCTTTATTTTTCACAAATTCGTAAATCAATAAGATCATCCGCCAGTTATTCGACGACCTTCTTTTCTTTCCTTCATTCTGATAGGAATATCTATTATTCAATATACAATTTTTAAAACAAAGAATCACATTTTCCTTCTATTAATTTTTCATTTCGAGTTCATTTAATTTAATTTAATTTCTACGCACACGGTGAATTCCCCAGCGACCAGTACAATAATTCATTCTGTTTTCACTGATTGTCCATTTTGTTTATCCCGTAGTATAAACATCAACAAAATGCACGAATTCAACGGCGAAATAACAAAGAATTAGAAAGCGTCAGAACGGTCATGAATATTCTATGAAACCGTGTGTATCAGTGATTAATCGAACGAATGCATTCCAGTTTTATTAGTTGAACAGTCCACTAGGCTCGCGCGCACGTGTTTATCCGGAATGTTTTCTCCGGTTGTAAATTCATGAGCGACGTGTACGTTAGGTGGTT